CTTTAAGTAAAATTGAACTATAATGACAATTAAAAAATCCAATAATAAATGTTGTAAATATTTGTCTGTAGCACATCTATAACGAGGCGGTTGAATTAACAGTAGGTACCAACGTATAATTTTAACCTGTTTTATTTATTTTTTTCCATCACGACGAATCACGTTAAGCTGCGGAACGCAACTAGTTTTGTAAAGTAGTGACTAGTTTAGATTAAAATATGATTGTGTGACAACCCTAGCATATTTTAGCGACTTAACGTCGAGACAACCTTGAAAGTATTTTGCGGTATAACAAAGAAGTTGACCGCCTATTAGTATTTATTATACCGCGTTTAGAGCTCTGCCTCGTTAGGCCGCCATGGCGACGTCGCCGGCGTCGCAAGTCTGGCTACTTCTGGCAACCGAATGTCGCCATTTCGAGTGGCCATGGCGTGTCGACAGTCAGTTCGTTTACGTCGTCAGGAATGGACGTAGAAGAAATTGCACTTCTTCTTTATTATGTACGTCGCAGAAAAATGGAAAAAGAAAAGAGAAAAAAAGGAAACTACGGGTACATCCCTTTATAACCGATCGAAGGCGAAGGTGTTCTTTTAAAACTATATGGAGATTTACGAAAATATCCTGAAAAGTTTTCAATTATGTAAGAATATCAATAGCATCTTTTGACGAATTATTAAATTTATGTAGAAATTATTTAACTAAACAGGATACGAATACGATATTTAGAAAATCGATAAGTCCGGAAGAAAAACTATTTGTGTCTTTAAGGTAAGCAGTATTTTAATCAAATTTATGAAAATTAAACATTTAAAGTTTAATTTATTTTATAACGTTTAAAGTATATATCTAAAATAGAGAAATCTTCTGAAACATTTGTCATAATTGACGGTGGTGTGCTAAACGGTGTACTAGATAAAGACTCAGTGTTGTATTCCATCATTGATAGGGTTTCTCCGCGAACAGTAGAATATCCAGGGTGATAACTTCGAGACGGCGGCGGTTCTGTTTGTTGTGACCAATAGCTTTGACGGTATAATGCACTATCATCAATGTTGGGCATAGAGCGGGTAGCTTCTTCAAGAATTGTCATTATTTTTATTTTGGTTGCCATTTTTTTTTTTGCAGGAGGCACTTTTTTTACGGTGCTTACTAAATACAGCATGAAAAACCTGTCTTCATCTTAACTTTCAAGCTCATATTGTTCTCTACTTTTGATGGATTTGTTAAGGGCTTCTAAAAATTTGTCATCTTCAGGTGCAGTCTTCTGTTTTGTTTTCATTCTTTTCGGACAACTTCCCACTTGTCTGTCTTCTTGTAAGTCTTTTTCAGGATCAGGATCTGTAGCTTCAATATCAGGATCTGTAGCTTTGGACTCTTTTGATGCCACAACTTCAGGCTCTCTTAACGCAACAACATTCTGTAGAAACAGAAGTTGTTTAAAAAATATATATTCGCTTTTACGTGGTTCACGGCCAGACCCGGACTTCAAAGATTTTTTTAGGTTCAGTTCTAGTGTGATGCAACCACGGATACTTTTCCATCTTTTTTGCAAATTATCAGATGAAAATAGTAAATAAGTTTAGTATACGCGTTTATCAATAAATTAATCAAGAAAAACCCTTATAGATAATGATGGTATCTTTTCTTCTAGGTATTTTGCGTCAGGATGTTCACTCATGGAACTTTACTACAACTACAGACTCGGTCATACAACAGTTTGCACAATAATTAGAGAAGTGTGTAGCGCTATATGCCAATATCAAGAACAATTCATAGATCTTCCAAAGACAGAAGTTGATTGGGAAAAGGTTGCAAGAGGATTTAAAACAATCGCGAACTTCCCCCATTAGAATAGAATAGAATATTTTTTTATTCAATATCGATTATTACATAATTCTTATTTAAAGTCATTTTTATCTACCACTGGTTCGGAAAATACCTCTATCCTGGGAAGAACCAGCAGAAACCCAGCGGGCCTTTTTTATCAAACATAATTTCGTTTATACAATTTTTAAATATTTTTTCATAGAACCAGAATGGTGGCGATCACCTTATTCCCAGGGGTTATTTTCATTCATGTATTCCTTGATATTATAATAACCCTTTTTGTACAGTTTTTCTTTAATAAAACTTTTAAACTTGTTTATTGACAAACTTTGAATATGTTCTGGGATTTTGTTGTAAAAGCGTATACATTGCCCCATAAATGAATTACTAATTCTGTGGAGTCTAGTAACTGGTATATAGCTTGTAGCTTATGTTTGTTCCTAGTGTTTAAAGTATGCACATCCTTATTCTTATTAAAGCTATTTATGTTTTTATGTACATATATTACATTTTCATAAATATTTTGCGATGCCAAAGATAATATTGTTACGCGCCACTATTAATGTCTTGTACATGGCAACACTAGTTACACTAGCGCCCCCTAGTGTCGAGTAAATGAAAGTATTGCGCGCCACTATTAATGTCTTGTACATGGCAACACTAGTCACACTAGCGCCCTCTAGTGTCGAGTAGCAGAACTAGGAGAGTCGAGATCCTTCCAGAAATTTCGGGACCGATATGTACTCGAACATTCTAGATGTCGCTACAGTAGAAGGTTCTGGAAACTATCTGAGGCCCTATATAAGGCCGGTATAGACCACGACCGGGGCAGTATTGAATTGGCGATACAAGAGAATACTTCGAAGCGAAATAACGGCGAACTGTGTTTTATTATTAGTGTGTTTTAAGGTGTAATTAGTATCCGTAATTAAAGTGTCAATTTTGGTAATTTAATCGGCAGTTTTTAATTGTCTCGAACCTCAAGCTCGTAACAATTGGTGTCAGAAGTGGGATCAAATATGCCGATTTTACCTAAAGACGACACGGAGGGTATCCGTACCCGAAGTCAACGCCAACAGGAGACGGACCAGAGACGATTTGGTAATGCAACGCCGCAAATGTCGGAGGGCCAGTTGCTAACCACGGAGGCTGGCCCGTCAGCAGCTCCTGCATCTGCAGCACCTGACTTAGGTGCTCTGATGATGATGCTGCAGGATCAGGCCCGCCGACAGGAGGAACAGGCCCGCCGACAGGAGGAACAGACCCGTCGGCTGGAAGAGCAGCTGCAGCGCGGTATGGAAGAACAGATGCTCCTCAGGAAGGACCTTCACGCTACCTTCGGGAAAGAGATAAAGGAGGTGAAGGATAGGGTTGCTCAACATGACAACCGCCTGTCGGAAGCTGAAACCCGAATCGACCAAGTGAACAATCGGGTTGACAACGTGATGGCTGATGTGAAGAAAACGCTGGACGACCTCAAACTTAGGGATGGAGTTACAGCTCCCGTGGTAGCTACAACACCTTCGCTACGTGGATTCAAAGTGCCACCGTTCGACGGGACTTCTTCCTGGTCGGCCTATAAAATCCAGTTCGAGGCTGTCATGAAAGCGAACGGCTGGAATAAAAGTCAGGCCATGACTGCTCTCACCCTAGGCCTGCGCGACCAGGCATTAACTGTTCTGGAAGCTCTCGGTAAGGAAGTGACTTACGAGCAGCTCCTTGAGGCATTGGAGGCGAGATATGGCGACGCTCACCTGGAACACGTCTTTCGTGCGCAGCTCAAAGATCGCGTGCAACGCAGTAACGAAAACCTGCAGCAGTGGGCCCTTGAGGTGGAGAAGCTGGTTCGAAAAGCGTACCAGTCTGTACCTGCGCTTATTGTAGGGAACCTGGTGCAGACATTTATCGACGGCATCCGCGACCTTGAAGTCAGAGCTGCTGTGAGGCTCGGGCACCACGAGACGCTTAAGGACGCCTTGACCCATGCACTGGAGGTGGAAGCCGTGCGGCAGGATCATCGTTCCCACCGCGTCAGGGAGGTTGCAGCAGCTAAAGTTCAGGACCGCAATAAAAGCTACAGCCCTAGGTGCTACGGCTGTGGAGAAAGGGGCCATCTTCGATCCAGCTGCCCTAAGCGAACTGTAAAAAGGGAAGGTGATCGATCTCGAGAGGGTAGTGTGGATAATAGCACCGCCCAGCAGCAGCAGGGAAACTGGCGGGTGCTGGCTGATGTTAAAAGAGCCCCAAGGATTTCGATCTCACAAACTCATGATGGGAACAGCCTAATCATCAAGGGCGAAGTCAACGGAACGCCATGTAAACTGACCATAGACACTGGAGCCTCTCGCACGGTTGTCAGTTCCCAACTTATAAGTCGGTTCCTTGGTGACTCCGCATACAACCGAGAACGCATTAATTTGGTGACAGCCACTGGTCAGCGCATACCCGTCCGTGGAGAGAAGGAGATGGAGTTGAAGCTAGGCAACATGATCTACCTGCATAATGTCATCGTGGCTGATATAATGGACGACTGCATCCTGGGCCTAGACTTTATGAGGAAGAATTGTTGTGAGATCGACGTTAAGCAAGGTGTTTTGAAATGTGGACAAGAAGAACTTTTCATGGAAGGGGCGTTACCAGGGAATGTGTACAGCCTTAAGAAGATTGTTCTTCCGCCGAGATCGGAAACGATTGTGCCGGTTAGTCTTCCTCGGAGTCCTGGGCAAGCTCATCGTTGTGTACTCGTGGAAAGGGTAGACAATGACCTTCCATGGAAAGTGGCTCGAACCTTGGTCAGAACCACCGACATCTCAGGAGTACGTGTGTTGAACCTTTGTGATCAGGAACAGATTATAGAAAAAGGCACATTGGTTGGTACTAGTGAGGAAGTGGATTGGTTGCGTCGGTGCGAATATCTATCGACCGGGACCCCTAGCAAGGATGGACAAACGAGAGTGACCACACTTTTAGAAGACTGTCGCAGCGTTCTCTCCCCGAATGAAATGGTCAAGGCGAAGAAGTTGTTACTCAAGTACGCCAATGTTTTCTCGTCAAACGAAGCTGACATAGGAAAGACTGGCTTAGTTCAACACAAAATAAACACAGGACAAGAATTGCCTATTCGTCAGCGGCCAAGAAGATTGCCTGTAGCACGTGAAAAGGAAGTGGAAACCATGATTGAGGGAATGGTGAAGGATGGTGTTATTGAACCTTCATCTAGTCCATGGTGTTCACCTGTGGTGCTGGTAAAGAAGAAGGACGGCAGCATGCGGTTTTGTGTTGACTACCGCCGCCTGAACGACGTTACGAAGAAGGACAGCTATCCCTTGCCTAGAATTGATGACACGCTGGATATGCTCACAGGCGTAAAGTGGTTTAGTACGCTGGACCTGAAAAGTGGCTACTGGCAGGTTGAAATTGACCCTAAGGACAAGGAGAAAACTGCATTTTCCACAGGAAAGGGTCTGTGGCAATTTAAAGTCATGCCGTTTGGATTGTGCAATGCTCCAGCAACGTTTGAAAGGTTGATGGAGCTTGTACTTACCGGGCTAATTGGAGATGCCTGTCTCGTCTATTTGGATGACATCATCATCGTAGGCCGTACGTTTGAGGAGCACCTTCAAAACCTGGAACGCGTGCTCATGAAGATCCAGAGTGCCAACCTCAAGTTGAGTCCAAAGAAGTGCTCACTATTCAAACGGCAAGTTAGTTTTTTGGGGTATGTAGTGTCGGAAGAAGGTATCCGCACGGATCCAGAGAAAATTGCTGCTGTCAAGGAGTGGCCGGTCCCAAAAGACAAGACACAGGTTAGAGCATTTTTGGGTTTGTGCTCTTATTATCGGCGATTTGTGAAGAACTTTGCAGATATAGCCAAACCTCTGCACAAGCTAACCGAGGAGAAGCGACAATTCCGCTGGGATGAAAGTTGCGATATTGCATTCCAGGAGCTCAAGAACCGCCTGTGCAAAACACCTATTTTGGGGTACCCTGATGCGGGCAAGGAATTCATAGTTGACACAGACGCAAGTGATATAGGACTTGGCGGTGTGTTGTCTCAACGGAATGGTGATCAAGAGATTGTGATAGCGTACTTCAGCAAGTCGTTGTCAAAGCCGGAAAGGAACTATTGTGTCACAAGACGGGAATTGCTTGCTGTGGTAAAGTCCTTGCAGCATTTTAGCAAATATCTTCTAGGGCGGAAATTCCACTTACGAACTGACCATGCTGCACTGAAATGGCTATTGCAGTTCAAAAATCCGGAAGGACAAGTTGCGAGATGGATAGAACTACTGCAGGAATACGACTTTGTGATCGAACATCGCAGCGGGAAATCTCATGGCAATGCAGATGCATTGTCAAGAAGACCTTGCCCTGAAGATTGCAAGCATTGTACTAGGCAAGAGGGTAAGGAAGTGGTATCTGTGAGAATGCTCAGGACAGACCAGCTCAGCAATGAGTGGAAGGACAGCCTACAACATGCACAGCAGGAGGATTCGGACATTAAGCCGATTCTGGAATGGATGAAGGCCAGTGCTCCTAAGCCCAAGTGGAGCGACGTCTCATCAATGAGTTCGACCACGAAAAGCTATTGGGCCCAATGGGACAGCTTGCTGATTCAGGATGGAGTCCTGTGCCGTAAATGGGAAAATGGTCGGGGAGACAGGTGTCATTTGCAAATGGTTGTCCCTAAGGCTAAAGTGCCGGATATTCTACGGCTGTACCATAGTGGTTGTTCAGGAGGCCACCTGGGAGTTAAACGAACTCTCCTGAAGATCCGAGAACGGTTTTACTGGGTCCACTGTCGTGACGATGTCGAGGACTGGTGCCGCAAATGTACAAGTTGTGCGGCTGTAAAGGGACCTCAAATTCGTAGTAGAGGCGCATTGAAATTGTACAATGTTGGTGCACCATAGGAGAGGATAGCCATTGACGTTGCGGGGCCGTTTCCAGAAACTGAAAGTGGTAACAAGTATTTCATGGTAGTGATGGATTACTTCACTAAGTGGCCAGAAGTCTTCGCCATTCCAAATCAAGAAGCTTCAACAGTCGCAGATAAACTATTTCATGAAGTCTTCTGTCGTTTTGGAGTACCTTTAGAGATTCACAGCGATCAAGGAAGGAATTTTGAGTCTCAAATATTCCAGGAAACTTGCCGAGTTATGGGTACTCAGAAAACACGAACAACTTCTTACCACCCACAATCTGATGGAATGGTAGAAAGATTTAATCAGACATTGGAGAGGTACCTAGCAAAAGTTGTGGAAAAACGGCAACGAGACTGGGACAGGCACATACAACCGTTTTTGTTGTCATATCGAAGCGCTGTTCACGAAAGTACATCAGTGACACCAGCTTTCGCAAACTTTGGGAGAGAATTGCGGCTGCCTGCAGACCTGATCACCGGAATACCACCTGATGCCCCACGCAGTATAACCGATTATGCAAATGACTTGCGGAACAAAATGAATGACATTTATGAGCACGTCAGACAGACGGGCCAGCAAACGTCTGAGAAGATGAAAACACGGTATGACCGCAAAATGAACAACAAGGGCTTTGATGAAGGTTCACTAGTGTGGTTACACAATCCAGTTCGCAGCAAAGGGAAATCTCCTAAGCTTCAAGCTAAATGGGACGGACCGTACCGGATCGTGACAAGGATCAATGATGTAACCTACCGGATACAGAAAGGTGCCAGAGGTACTCCTAAGATTGTACATGTGGATCGACTGGCGCGTTATTATGGGGCCAATAATGCTCGGGACGAGCATGTCTTAGGAGGGGGCAGTGTTACGCGCCACTATTAATGTCTTGTACATGGCAACACTAGTTACACTAGCGCCCCCTAGTGTCGAGTAAATGAAAGTATTGCGCGCCACTATTAATGTCTTGTACATGGCAACACTAGTCACACTAGCGCCCTCTAGTGTCGAGTAGCAGAACTAGGAGAGTCGAGATCCTTCCAGAAATTTCGGGACCGATATGTACTCGAACATTCTAGATGTCGCTACAGTAGAAGGTTCTGGAAACTATCTGAGGCCCTATATAAGGCCGGTATAGACCACGACCGGGGCAGTATTGAATTGGCGATACAAGAGAATACTTCGAAGCGAAATAACGGCGAACTGTGTTTTATTATTAGTGTGTTTTAAGGTGTAATTAGTATCCGTAATTAAAGTGTCAATTTTGGTAATTTAATCGGCAGTTTTTAATTGTCTCGAACCTCAAGCTCGTAACAATATGTTTATTTCTTTAAATTTTAGTCTGAGGGACTCTTTACAATTTAGGTTGTAAATCGCCCGAACGGCTCTCTTTTGCAAAACAAATATAGCTTCAATATCAGTCGCATTACCCCATAGCAAATTTCCATAAGACATTACGATATGAAAGTAACTAAAATACACTAATCTAGCTGTCTCAACATCTGTGAGACTTCTAATCTTTCTTACAGAATATGCCGCAGAACTAAGTCTGCTTGCTAATTTAGATATATGGGGGCCCCATTGAAGTTTCGTGTCAATATTAATACCGAGAAAAACAGTGATATCCACAAGACTCAACTCCTCCCCATTTAACAGCACATTGGTATTCGAATGTTTTACATTAGGTATTGTAAATTTAATACACTTTGTCTTATTGCCGTTTAAGAGCATATTGTTGGCGTTAAACCAATGTACTAATTTCGATAGAGCATTATTTACATCGTCATAATTAATTAACTGCCGTTTGAGTTTGAAAAAAAAAGAGGTATCGTCAGCAAATAATACTATATCGTGATTGTCCCCTACAAGATAAGGTAAGTCATTAATATAGATTAAAAACAGGAATGGGCCAAGGATCGACCCCTGAGGAACGCCCATTGATACTACCGATCCGGAGGAACCTTTACCATTGATCACGACTTTTTGAGTTCTGTTACTTAAATATGAAGTAATAAGTCTAAGCGCCAAATTTTTACACCGTAATGTTTTAGTTTCCTGATTGCATTTGCATTGACGGGAAACACATGAGGGTTATTGAACCGATGCATACTGGATCACTATATTTTAATTATAAGCATTATTTTTCAATCGTATTACTTGCTTTGTGTGATGCTAATTACAATTTTCTATATATAGACGTTGGAGCGTATGGAAAAAGCAGCGATTCAGCAATATATAAAGAAAGTGCTTTATACACTAATCTCATTAACCAATTTCTACATGTTCCTGCGGCAAACCCACGGAATATAAAAAAGGCAAACCCATTGACAGAAAACGGTGACAATATTCCATACGTAATAATAGGAGATGAAGCTTTTGCGTTACACGAAAACCTCGTGAGACCATAAGAACACAATCTTAGTTACAAGCAAAAAATATTCAACTACCGATTATCAAGAGCACGCCGATATATCGAATGTACATTTCGCATTTTATCTAACAAGTGGCGGATTTTTCACAGGCCAATGAATGTACATATAGATTTGGCAAAAGCGATTGTAAGGACATGTTGCATATTGCACAACTTTGTACGTTCCAGACATGGCTATTCTTACGGCGATACTCTGACGGTGACAGGATTTGAACCAGGTCCAAGTCGAAATCGCGATAGAGGAGGAAGAACGGCACTCACAGTTCGAGACAAACTAGTAGATTATTTTGTTACTGATGATCCATTACCATGGCAAGACAAGTATGTATAAATAAATAAAAGTTAATAAAAGTACACTCACTTACCTAGTTGTTTTTTTTTCTTGGTTTGTCATTTCGTCTTTTTCTTTAAATATGTTTACTATTTCATCCCAACCTTTAATTTTTAAGTTACGATCGGAATAATCATTTGATGAACTATCCCATAAACAAGGACGGTTTTGAATTTCTATAATAAATTTTTCAGTATCGAAACTCGCATCAAATACAAATAACTATTTGAGCGAGCGTCCAAGATGGCGGCCAAAGAGTATAATAAGTATATACAGGAAATGGCGGCTGACTGGCGACTGAGTGAGGGAGGTGCAGTTTACACGTGTATAACCTGTCGGAAATATCTGCGAACCTGGCTTGATGACGTCATGCAATATGGAGAGATGGCAACGGTACTGGATAGACGATAACGGGCGGAAATATCTGCGAACCTGGCTTGATGACGTCATGCAATATGGAGAGATGGCAACGGTACTGGATAGACGATAACGGGCGGAGGTGCGGGGAAGCGCGAGGGGAAGCGCATTCCAGCGAGGTTCGCAGATATTTCCGACAGGTTATACATTATAGTGGCAACGTCGCCAGGCCGCCAGAGTAGCCAGAAGTCACGTAGGGAGCTGTCGCTTGTGGCTACGCTTCCAAATTGGCGACGTTGCCACACCATCGCCAAGTGAGTTAAGCGCTTATTACATTATCCAATTTTTAGAAAATCTAATTAGGAACCTAAGTTGGAAGCTAGTGATCACATTACACTAAATTGAATTCTAAATCGTGACGAAGCACATTCGTAAAAGTAGTATCGACGGGGTTGCACGTTTGATCTATGGCGCCGTATTTATCAAAACAGCAGAAAATAGGACTTGTCTTAGCCGTGGTGGGAACAATGGATATTAAAAAAGATAAAAGAGAATATGCTGGGTTAAGGAATACTTGTCATTGTATTTGTAAATATTTAACAACACCTTGAAGCCCTCTTCACGCATTGCTTTTTTTAAATAGTTTTCATCATTTTTATTATACAAATAGGGCATTTACGCTATACAGGTCTATAATTTGTAATAACACCTCTTTTTCTGTGGACATGCTGCCACACGAACTACTGCTCAGTTCTGTCGCTTCACTCGCCATCGCAAAAAAATGTCGCACGCGCAGTCAAGACATCCACTTAAAGGCTTATTACATTACACGATTTATCGGGCCCTGTCTATCGTGTGCCCTGCCTACCAGACAGGGCGCTGCTTATTACACTACGCTAGAAATCGCTTCCTGCCTCAGTTGTTACTCGAACGTGGAAACGATTGCACGTCTAGCATTATGGCGCAGACTTTATCTAAACGTCAAAAAATTGCTTTAGTGTTTTTTTTACGTAGTAGAGCCATGCTGCAGCTATATTAGTAGTATAGTTGTAGCACGAATGGGTCATCTCGACCGGGGAAGGACCACGCTCTCACAGAATACCAGCGTAAAATAGCAGCTTAACACTGCTGTGTTTCGTATGGTGAGTGTAGAGAACGGGAGACCCTTTTTACTGGAAAACAGGCATTCCATCTCAGTCCTCACGGATGATAACGCATTTGCATTTTGATTCGCATACGAGGATAAATGTAGGTGTCTATGGGCCACAGCAACCACTTACCATCAGGTGGACTGTGTGCTTGTTTGTCACCCTATCTTATACAAAAAAACTTTGGCTTGCGGTACCGTGCAAGGCCAAGCTAAAAAAAGGAAGGAAAGGAAAATGTGGATGAAAAAATATGTGCTCCTCAGAGAAAAACTATCGAATATGCAAATAGTCAGCGTTTTGGACCCAACAGACCTACGAAACTATTTTAAAGGTAGTAGTTTAGGGTTTAGTAGGTGAAAACCAATTCAACGAGTTATTAAGCTTAGTATAACGCCTTTAATAGAAAAAAAAATACTTTAATGATTTCTTATATTTACGCGAACACTACACATTGAATAAAACTACTTGTACGGATTCTATCGCGTTTAATTATTTTTTTTTATTAATTCCCTACGTTTCGGGTGCTTTACAGTACCCAACCCCCGTGACAATGGGTGGTAAAGCACCCGAAACGTCGGGAATTAATAAAAAAAATTAAACGAGATAGAATCCGTAAAAGAAGTTTTATTCAAAAGAATACTTTTTTAAGAGAAATTGGTTGTCACTTTACGATTTTGGCCACTGGAAACTCCTATCAAGATTTGATAAGGCATATCTTAGTAGA